ATGCGCTCGCGATTCGCGTCACGCTCCCGCGTCCCTTACTACGTCGCGAGCTATACGCTCGCTGTCCCGGCCAGGGAAAAAAGTTTATTAAAGTCGAGCCGGCGAGAAATTTGCAACTAAATGCTCGGCGTTAAGGGTGTTGGCCGTGGGGCGCAGTCGCGGCGTCGGTGGTCGACTTCGACGGATCGAAATCGAGATCGACTTTACCGGAGATCGCAGCCACGGAAATATTAGCGCGTTCCGAGCCGTTGAATCGTTGGAGAATGGAAGGAAAACGGGAGGGGTGAAGAATGGGCCGAGGGTTGGAGGTTGGCGGTGGTGGGTGTGGGAACAGCCAGCCTCCGCAGCCTTCGCGAGTTCGCTCATCCGAAAATCTAATTTCGCTGTATTCCACGCGCTAAGTTGTCCTCGCAAGTTTTCGCGTACGTTCTCCGCTTCGAAAAATAGCGCCGCGTTCCGTCGTGCACGCGTGCAATTAATCGAGTAGACGGCGAAGAAGTCGCCCCGAGAGGACGAAGAAGAAGCGCGCGGGAGCGCACAGCGCGTGCTGCGCGTACACGCGGTGGATCGTGCTCCAAGTTGCCAGGGAAGACCGAACTTTGCCAACTATTTTATCAACGAGCGTGGTACACCGAGTAAGATCACCCGCAGCGCGTGAGCGCAAACACGAAATTGCGTTTAAAACTTTGCCTGGACCGGTGTGTAAGGCACCCCCCGACCCTGCCTGCCACCGCCCGCGTTACCGTGTTACGCATCGCGCGATTCCGCTCACGCCTCCTTCGCGTCCTCTAATACGTCCCGGCACACGTATGGCCGCAGTGGCGCGTGCCCCTAAGGCTCGAGGTGTAAGAAGATTACGAGTGGTACGTGAGCCAGCCACTGCAACCCTTCATCGCCGACTCTCCTTTTCTCCGTCAGTGGAGCGAGCTCGCGTCTCGCACCTTCGCGCGAATAACTCGCGCGCGTGGTCACGTATGTCTGCATTACCCGCCGGTAATTAACGTCAATCTCGTCGTCTTGTAACGCGTTTCTCGGCTCCCGTTGACTCCGCCTACTACCTGCTGCTGCGACATCCTGGCCCCTAACGCGATCCTCGCGCAAACCACGCGGATGTTTGCGATATTAGACGGGCGTCAGGTATGCGGACCCGGGCGTGATTCTGATACTTTGACGGTTTAATTGCGAGTTCCGGGCGAGATAAACGCTCCTCGTCGAACAATACGCGAGCAGGTGCAATCCTGCGCGTACTTTCCTCTCCGACCGAGTATTCGTTTATTCCCGGTTCCGGATTCTGGCCACCTTTCCAGTATTTTTAATAACCCGCGGGATGTTTCTCGTCTGCTCACCCTCCTCCTCGCTCGACTTTGTAACGAAGTTGCGACGAGTTTGAGAGAAGCCGTCGTAAGCTCGGTACGCCACGACCGAGAACCGTCGTGAAATCTCCGAGAGTCGACGTTTCGATGGATTAACGGAAAGCTTTATTAATCGGTTAACCTCTCGCGATTTATCTTTCCCACGCGAAGCGAGTTTAAGTTTTCGCCGCGAGTTTCAGAAGGGTGGAAGAACCGCGCTCGAGAGCGGTCCCGCACGCTCGCCGCGCGACTTGGTCCCGCATCGATGGCGTCTTTCTCGCGACCCTCGATTCCCATCGAAGATAAATGTCATCGCGATGACTCGACGAAATTGTATGATATTTTTCGAAGCGACTATATTTAACGGGCGTACCGCCAAGCGTCGCGGCGACTCGCGTATTCTCGCAACTCCGAGTTCTCGAACGATTCATTTATCACGAATTTATCGAAGAGGCGGCGCGTGTTCTCAAACGAGCAGCCGGGTGGAAAAAACGCCCTCGTCGGTTTCCAAGCTTTATAGACGTCGTTTTTACCTGGTCGTCCCATTGTTCTTACGTCGAAGGCGAATCTCGTCGTCGTTCGATTCCGCTACGATCAGGGTGACGAAACGGTCGTTCGGTTTCGACGGACAATTTGACAAATCGCCGGGGCGATCCGCGCACGCTGGCGATCCATTTCGTCCAAGGATATGCCCGCGTGCGTGTGTGTGTGTAGCATAGAAGCGGTATCCGAAGGCAGAACGCGCGCGGACTGTAGCCGAATCGAGCCGGGATCCGAGAGCGAAGAGGAAGCGGTGGTATGTCAGGGAAATGAACGCGTTAGTCACGCGTTGCACGCTGCACTCCAGGGGTCACTTCGCATTCATAACCAGGTCCCCGACGCTATGATGCTTACGGGATAAGATCGGTGACGACGAGCAGGCGCGCACGCGCGAGAATCGCTTAAGCGGTAAACTTGTAAGTGGCGAAATAAAGTTAGAAGCTCTCTGCTACCGTGTCTGTGACAGTTTAATTAATATCTTTCATCCTCAAAGGAAAAAGTTGGTGAAGTAACCGGCACGGGCCCGGCTAGAGAGAGCAAAGAGCTAGTCGGGGGTAGTCGAGGCGAGCCGAGTGGAGCTACTTCAACTTCAGGGACATTCACCGTAGTCGTCGCCGTCGTCGTCGTCGTCGTCGTCGGCGTCGTCGTTCGCCGCCGCCCCTCTTTTCTTCTTTCGCTATACCCTAGCCGCTTTACGCGCCAGCCTCGGGTACAAACTTTGTCGTTTTCCGCTATTTTCGATGGTCTCGCGCGTCACCGAGTTCCACGCGAAGCGGCTCGAGGATACGGAACTCGGACAATTTCGTGCGAACGAAAGGGAACTCCGACAACTGCTTTGTCTCGGCTGGCCAGGCCTTCCATGGAAGGATCCTTCGGTCGAGGGTTCATCCAGCTTCTTTGTATTCGCCGGTTAATTTCTTTTCTCTTCGACGTCGCCGCGACGCTACTTGTACCGTGTAGTTTCGCGATTAATCGTCGCGCCACCGATCGATCAATCGTCTTTCCCATGCACGGATCTATAAGCACTTTGCTTCCCCGTTTCCTTTTTCTCTCCTCGCCCTGCCGACCGAGCAGTCGTTATCGGTCGACCCGCTACCCCGTCCGTTATCCGTCCGTTCGTGCCACGGCCAACTTAGCGCCTCTCCAAGGACATTACGCTCGTGTAACGACGTACGAGAGTCCGGTAAGGCGTTACCCGGTTCCACCGTGGCTATGTATAATCGCTAACCGCTGCGGTAACCCCTTATCCGACCTCGTGCCGTTACACGCTCTGCTCCCTCGCTAACGAGTAATCAACGAAACGACGTACCGCTAATGTCGCGAATAGATTTCGGACGCTCGATGGAGCTCCCGCCGACTCCCTCGTGGCGCGCGATAAAATTAAAACGCGTAAACCGATTTCCCGACGCATCGAATCCCGACGGTTAGCCTGCTAATGGAACTTGCTCTTAAACGCAACGACGCTGAACGCGACGTCGTTAAGGCCTGGCAAAGTTTAAATTAAACTTAACGTCGGGTGTTCGAACTTCTGCGAGCGAGGAAATCGGTTGTTACTCGTAATTGCGAATCATCGAGTCGATGGGGGAAAGAAGAAAGCAGGGGAAAAGGTAAAGAAAAGAATCGTCGCCGACCGCGTTTAACAATCTCGCCCCCCGGGAAGGAGACTTCCGCGGGAGGAGAGAGATCGAGAAACGACCGGCAGTTATCGTAGTCGCGACAACGACGGCCGTTGAAATCGAACGATCTACGAAGCAACGAGCAAATTCCACTTCGACTCGCAAATCAACCGTTCCCGTCGCGACCGATATTTCTCGCGACTTTGCCCGCCTTGAGAAACAACCCCGTCGCGTACCTCGATTTCTTCCGCTTCGAAACTTTATAGACCGACGTCCTCTTTGCCGGCCAACGATGGAAACGAGACCGCGAAATCGCGATACGCTCGCGCGGAATGCGAAGAAGAGGCGTGGAAATGTTTGCCACTGGCACGCGTTCGTTTTCTCGTTCACCAATATATTCTCGCGTATATCCGCGTATATATTCGCGTGTACAGTTGCGTGTATATTTCCGTATATATTTGCGCGTATAGGCGACGATTAGCCTTGTAAAATACGAGTCAGGGACGAGTGTGGCTGATAACGCGCGCACAGCCCCGGCTCCGCGGCAAAAACCGTGATCCACCCCTCGTGCACGAAATAAAAGCAACACGACGCGGGACAAATGCAATAGGATGAAACTGAAGCTACCGATGAAAACCGCGATTAGGTGATCCGAGCGAGCACTGTCCACGCGAAGTCGCCGCAGTAATTAAACCCTTTGACGTGCGTACTTCGACGGGTTCGAGCACCTCTGTCACCGTTCCGGATTTCAAAAAAAAAAAAAGAAAAAAAGAAAAAATAGGAAAGAGAGGAGAAAAAAGGATAGGAAGGTAAGGGAATAGGGGAAAAAGGGGAAAAAAGGGGGACAAAGGAAACAAGGACAAAAAAGAAGAGGAAGAAAGGGAACAAAAATATCGGGAGCGGATCAGAGAGGCGTCGTGGAAATGACGAGCCTCTCGGGAATAATACGCGGTCGGGCAACAGAGTCATCGGCTTTGGGAATTTGGTCCAAGTTAGTTATCACCGATGTACACGCGAGCCGCGAAATCGTTTGTACAGTTTCCCTCGTTGTTACCCCTTCTCCCGTAATAGTTGTAATTCGCTTCGATCGGTCAGCAGTGGAAAATTAATTTCGTACCGCGCGCTGCGCGAACACTGCTCGGCGGTGCAAGAAATCCAGGCGAAAAACTTTTCAAGGGCGCTCCTCGAGTTTTAACCGCGACACCGCGAAACCCTACGGTTGACGAGGGTGAAAGTCGACTCGATTCCGATCCAGTAATTAACATCGTCGGTGGCTGGGAATCGCGTTAAAGACTCCGAGATCGCGAGAGAATCCGCGACATCGCCTCCGGATTCTAATTCGGCCGATTCCCGTTCGGTCTCCGTCGCTCGTTGGTGTTCGCGGGGTTCGAGAAAGAAAACAATGCGTTTCGATATATATATATATATAGGTGTATATATATATATATATATATAGATACACACAGAAGAGTAGGCGCGCACAAATACGTACCTGGTAGCGTAGGATTCGTCGCAGAGGCGTCCTGGCGCGCGGCGTCGCTGGTAATTGCAGCCCCGCCGAGATTGGTACTGTAGTCTTCGAGAAGTACGTAGCACAGTAATAGCCGTACCACCCTCATTCTGGAAGTGGAAGAAAAAGAAAGCTGAACAATAATAACGACCGTCTCTCTCTTCCTCTCTCCCTCTCTCCATCGCTCTACACCCCTCCCCAATCTTCCCACCCTCTGTTTCGCCTAACTCGTACCCATAGCCCCGTTTTCCCTTACCCCAAACTCCCTTTACCGGTTGTTTCTTTCTTCCTATACCGGCCGAAGGTTTTTTTTATTATTCCTTTCATCCTCTGCTCTCCTCAATCGATACATTTGTCAGACGTATAAGCGGCTCCAAGTTCGCGCAATTTCGCGTAATGTACGTGGGCCGAGGAGTAATCGGAGGGCGGTATCGGGACTCGGTACATCCCCGACTCCTCCTCTGTCCAACGGAACGCGGAACAATTATCTTTTACGCCATCCCGTAAATAACTATCCCGACCATTTAGGAGCACAGATTTCACTCGGTGTGCGAGCAGAATTTAGGACCGCCCAACGAGCAACCCACCCTCTCCGTATACGCGTGAGCCGTGCAACTGCTCCGTCTTATTTACGACGGGACTAAATGAAAAGTCTCTCCTTCTTTGTCCCCTGCGTTACACACCGTCTACCACCTATTTTCCCGCTAAACGCGCCTCGTTTCTCTCCGCGGTAAACACCCGGCCTCGCACGCCCGCACCTTCGTCTACCCGAGACACGCCAGAGCCCGTACACGTCAGCGATCCTTCTCGTTTTTCGGCAGCACCGATGTCGGATTATAGGCTCTTTGTTTTATCTCGCTGACGCGTGATCGATGCTTTCGACCAACGAGAACCGAGAGAAAGATAGGTCCGGCCTCGGAGCGTCGCGACGCGTCGGCTGAAAATCAACCGACGCTCTCCTTCCCGGTCCTGTCCGATCGCCGTCCCGACGCCGTTCTCCGCTGGAAAAATCTCACCCGTCGCGTCGCGGTGCATGATATCCGTCCCGCGAAGATCCACCCTCGAGGGTGTAGATAGCAGCAGGTAAACGGGGGTTAGGAAAACGCGACGATTACCGGAATTGGCACGCGACGAGTACCGGGGTTAACCGCGATCGACGGAGGGTGAATCTCTCTTGCGTCGGAGGAGGTGGAGATACGTACATCGCGTTCACCGGGAAGACCGTGATTTCGCTAGTCAGGATCCGTGAGACAAAACGACGGAAGGATATCGGATTTTCGTTATCGTTAAAAGCTTCTTCGAACAGATCGGTAATACAAGGATCGGAGCGAGAGAGGATTTCACTTTTCGAAGGAGAATTCCATTTCCGAGCGTCTTCCGTGTGTTTACCGCGATGAGCTGTTTGTCCGCAAACATAGTCCGTTGAGAAAAGATTCGCGCAAACGTTATGACCGATTTAAAAGCCTCGTCGACGAAATGGTCGGAAGTGCCTTTGCGAGCCGCTGCTTCCACGGAGAATACGGGGGAGAAAAAAAGCTTAATGGCTCGCTTGGCATTGTACTGGAAATAAGTTGATCCCGATTCGGCTAGCACGGGCTCGCGCGCGTGAATTCCCCGGGAAATGTCGTTCTTTAGTAATTTAGTAATCCCCGAAAAATCGCAGTTTCTCGTTTTGTCTTCGTTACGCTGAACCGGCGTTAAGCGCGGCTTAAACTCCGTCGAGATCTAAGGAACCGATACGTTTCCTCCGCGGAGACCCTCGCAGTCGCGTAATCAAGGAAAATGCAAACTCCTAATTTTTCCGGGCTCTTTATCGGGATCGAGAGATCGCCAGGACCCTCCGGTGGATCGTTAATTACGCGCGTGAAAGAGAAGGAAGGACGCGTATCGCGGCCGGTCCCGATCGAGATCGATGGCGTCTTAATCATGGTTTCCAGGTGGGTGCAAAGTGCCGACTGACCGACTTCCGCGGACTTTCGTGCAAAAGTTCTCGGACGTCGGGGAAAATTTTATTCCGCGAGCGCTTCCCCTTTCTTACGACCAGAACCTACCTACCTACCTACCCCGTCGAATGTCGCATAGATTTAATTTCTTTCGCCCCCGCCGCCCCCCGACAGCCCTCCCGACAAGAAATCCCACGGAGTCGCCGACGTAATTTCAACCTGTACGCGATTACGCGCTTTCGTCGAAGAGACGAAAGAGATTTATTCGCGCGATCGTACCGTCGCGACACGATCGTTCAGCCCCGTCGTCGCTTCGTAATCCGAAGAATAATTTCGGGACACGGTGGTAGGAAAGCATATATCATTTGCATACGCGTAGCTATGCAAATACGCGGCTATTCTACCGAGAAACAGATTAATTATCCAGGATGCCGTTGAAAGCAGCCGGTATCCGTTTTTGCCAACGACTTCATCCGTCGTTCTAGCCGCCGCGACGACTGCGATCGTGGCTCGTCGAGGATTACGCCGTCGTCCGATTAGACGAGAAATTAACGCGTACTCGGTCCCGTCTTCGCGCGTCGTCGCGTCGCCGTCCGGACGCTTCTTGGACAATCCAGGAAGAACGTTTACCGCTTTAACCCGAGACCATTACGACCAGTTCGGTTTCGCGCGCCCGACTCGAATCGATTAATCATCTTCTTCTTCTTCTTCGTTCTCGAGCGACTATAAAACGCCGGTCAAGGTAAATATCGGGATGAAATTTCGGCAACTTTGGGGATAAATTTCCCCGCGTCTCGAGCAAATCGCCGGACAAACGGGCAAACTGGAAACGGTAAACGGCACGTTCGGGATAATATTAAAATTCATACGTGTCCGATATCACCGCGTAACGAATCTCCTTCGAGAGACGAATTTATCAAAGTCAACGACCAGGCCATTAGACATGACCGTCTACGGTGACCGTGTTCGGTAAAAACGCGTCATATACGAATATCCAGTCCCTCGCATCGTCCGTATAGTCGGTGAAACGTTTTTCTCGCTCCCTGCGAAGAATCTCTCATCGTCGATCGCGAATCGGTTGCGCCGACGATATCGAAAATTGAATTACCGGGCGCGGATTATCGTTCGTCCGATTTACAAATCGTTATCGCGAAATGCATCGACTTTTAGCCGATTCCGGCCGGCTGCAAGCACACCCGCGCGTACCTATGATCCTTATAAATTCACTTGGTATTCGACTGGGAATTCCGCTCGAAAATATCACGCCGATGTATCGTCCCGGCGGAAAATCACCGCTCGTAAACGGTACGCGTTGGCGAGCGACCACCGCACGAATTCTCCGCTAAATCCTGCTGGGAATATTCGAATCGGATCCCCGACCACGGTGATCCATCGACCGATCGACGGGTACGATCGATCGACACTCGCGTTCCACCTTTCTCCCTGCCTTGTCTGTTCCCGTGTCTGTTCCCGTGTCTGTTCCCGTGTCGGACCGACCGATCTCTCGAACTGCTAGCCGCTGGGACAGTTACCTCGTGAGAAAAGTGTAGCATTATATTCGGAAACGAACGCGTCGCGTCATATACGTCGCGTTTGACACGTCGTCTTCCCCTTCGTTTCCGATATCCACGCACTCTCCTTCTCCTCGCTCGACTCGGCGCGGCTTTCGTCCACGGGAAAATCGTTCGAACGCGTCCTCCACCGATCCAGTTCGAACTGTTCCAACGAGAGCTATGCTTCCGGCAACGGACGCATCCCCGGGCGTCGAGACGCGTGTACTGACAGCGTCGAGCTAGCCGTCGAGCGAGTCGAGCGTCGGAACGTTCCGTCACGGAACGCTTGCCTCGCATAGCGCAGGTCCAGGACCTCCTGTCCCTTCTTTCCTCTTTCCTCTCGTCTCTTTCCACGCTCGCTACTTTCCTCTTTCCCCTTTTTCCTCCTTCTTTCCTCCTCCTTCCGTTACCTCCGTCGCGCCATACCACGCGCCACACCGTTGGATATAATATTCAATTTATTATGTAGCTTTGATGCATGCGGAGCGTCACCGAAGACGAAAGAGTAGGAGAGACGGTGGAGGTGGAGAACAGCGCGAATGCACGAGCAACGTGGCGTCGCGATGGTCCACGGCCGAGAATAAAGGCCGACTCGTTGGGAACCGGAAAATCGGCACCGATCGCGAGCTATTCGCTGATTCTCGAAACGACGCGGTTCGTCGGTTCACGGGATCGAGAGGCGAGAAAAACGGCGACGAAAATTGTGAGAAAACCGTGAGGAAACCGCGAGGAACCGGAGGAATCCCGGGATCGAAGCAACCGACGATATCGTTGGCGTCTGCGCTCCTCTTCGCTTGCGAAACGTCCTCACCGAAACGTGGCTTTTCCAAAGATCCGGACGATCTCGATTACCGGTCACCCACACCCTCTTCCGTCCCTATTACTCCTCCCACGGCCATCGTGAACCGAACCGAGCAGCCGAAAATGTCGCGAGCGAAAAATTTCCCGGTGAATCCCTGGGGAAAGTTGACTTTCCGCACCGCGATGTCACGAAATAACATTTATTTTCCATACGCGACGCTTCGGCTAATGGCGAGCAAATATTAGTGGAAAAATAAGCGTCCTCGATCGGTTTTATCGTTTCGTTTGTAACGCTACACCTTGCGTGGCGGGATATTTTCGGTGAGGCAGGCGGAAAACCGTTCGTTCCGTCATATTTGCCGACCATCGAATGTTTTACACCGCGGCAAACACTCGAGCTTTTAAAAACCGTCCATATTCCGGCAGGCAGCGGCGAAATAGTCAGCTATCCGACTTTTTCGCCGCCGATTCGCCTATTATCGTCGAAAGGTTTTCAGATGGCCATGCGATACCGAACACCGAAGAAGCGATCGGTGGAGGACATCGATGGAAGATGCCAGGAACGTGTGGAAAAGAGATTTCCCGGGTTCCTCGCGATGGCGGCTTAATCGCTGCGCGAGAAAGTTGCCACGATCCGATTCCCGTGCCCTCTCGTCCGTTATCCCGGCGTCGTGGCCACTTTTCGAGCGTTTTACGCGGAACGAAATACGAAGGTGCGGCCCGTAAAATCTAAGTCGAAAATTTACGAGCGAAGAACATTCCTCGCGAGTGGTCCGCCTTCGAGCGGCTCTTCAATTATGACAGTGAGAAAAAGTATACATTAGGGGGATTGCTCGGAGCAGCTGAAACAACTACATGCAAAGGGCGCTGCAAAATTGCCGCTTAAGCTGCAGTAGGCGAAGATAAATGAAAAAGGTTTAGAAGGCGCCACAAGCGCGGAAAAACCGTCCTTCCGACGCTCCGACGTCGGCATACCTGTGAAAAATTCCTTGCCCGTGTCAAGACCGCGGTAAGACCTTCTTACAGATTACGCGACGATACCTTTGTTCCCGGGTCACCAGCGTCGCGAGCAAAGATCGCCTCGTCGTCGTCGAAAAAGACGGACGAAGATCCGGATGTTCCGGAATAGTTTAAAATCTGGAAATTAATTTTCCGTTTCCCACGGCCACGAGAAATTCGCTACGTGGTATACCCGTCGCGGCCACTTGGCTGTTCGATTTAGCCAAGGGGACACGCGGATACCCGATACGAGAGAAGAAGAGCTCGGAGGAAACTTTTTCGCCGATATTCGCGTTACGTTAACTTTCGGCGATTATCGAGAAAACATAGGGTATTTCGAACTACGGGTTATCGGCTATGAGATTTAATCGTTCCCAACTTGGAACGCGGACAGGGTGTGCGCAGAATCCGATCTTCCCGTCTGCCCGGTTATTTACGAATCGCGATCGCCGATAAGAGAATTCGTTCGACCACGCGCGATTCCCCGGGCCGGGAACTTTCGCCCTGTCCGGAATTAAAGACGAGAATTTTATAATCTCGTTACGGTATTTCCAATGGGATAGAAACGGGACACCTTGTACGCGGGGCAGGAAACTATACCCGTTGCGAATCGGGCAAACTTTCGCAGGTTCCGGGTCGCGCGCGATATCGTTAACGAAATAAATTTCTCCCTTGCTCGAAATAACCCGGACCCGATTTACTTTTTCCCTTAACGATCGAGGAACAATTCGGAAAGGCAACGGATAAGCCGGTTTACCGGATCGATCGCGAACCGGGCCGACGCGTTCGGCCAACTTAACGAATCCGCGAATTGTCGGTTGTATTCCGTATCCGGTTGTTAACGGAAGGGTAAAAAAGGGATAGGAATCAACAGGATTCAAGCACGCGCGGCGCAACCGTACGGTAAAATGGGATTTAGCCAATTAAATAATTTACAGTAACCACTAGGTACAATTAGCAAAATGACACGCGTTCCATCGGCGATCGCGCGGCTACACGCGGATTTTGGAGACGTAATAGCCGTTTTGGATTTCGGCTAAATCGAATTATGCTTTGGCGCAATGCATCAGGGCAGAATTTACATCTCGACGCCATTCGTTTTAGGCGCCGCGCCGCGCCGTGCCCCGCTCCAACCCGTCCGTTAACGAATCGTCCATGTTAATGTTTGCAAAAAGATTACGTTATGTTTCGCTCGTTTGAGGCGCATCGTTAGTCGAGTTTATTTCGGTGTCGGCAATATTTTCCGTCGGCCATGCAAACAACCGCGCGTTAAATAATCTTGCAACCACCTGAAACTGACCCCCCGTTCCCGTTCCGGAGTCCTCTTCGACTCGCGTCGGCCACGACCGTGCCCTCCGAATAGCCGAACCTTCTCGTTCGGCTATCCCTTGTTATCTCTCTTTCCCCCTTTTCCTTCCTCTTTCTTGCGTCTTTATTTTCAACGTCAGGGAAATGATTCGGAAAACCGACTCGATCCAAAAGCTCGAAGCTTAATACCGTAATCGTCGATAATATATCGGAGGCTGCATTATATCCGAGTTCGAATTATATCGGAGTACCAGCGCCGGCAGAACTTGGGAAATAATGGTCGATAGAAATGCTCGAGCGGTGATAAAGTAATAGTATATACTGCAAAGTATAGAGCTAGTTAAAACTTAGTCGCAGAAACTATTTGCGGTGTAATAGATATCGTTTTACGTTACGGCAGCCATTTGCAAACTTTAGTGCCGCTTCATTGTTAAGCTCGCCACTTCGAGGGGACAGCTAATAACACGTTCGAGGAGGCCTCGAAATTTTCTTTTCTCTCGCATGTAGGACGTCCTTTGTACGCGGCGTCGGTGAAAAAATGCGCCGCGTTCGATGCACCCTCGCGTAAGCGTAAAACCCAACGGTAAATGCGATTACCGTGGAAAAAGCAAAGCGTCATAATCTGCCGCGATATTCAACTTGCTCGCAGCGCGCCGGAGGCGGGGATGGATTCGAAAAACGAGACCGTGAACCGCGCGCGTTTGTGGATTTCGAGGTAACGTCGCGACGCCGTCGTTCCCAAATTTCGAGTCGTTCCCCGGCTCTCGACTTCGCGTTCCCGTCTAAACGAGCCGAGGTTATCGCGAAAAGCGCAAAGCGCGGCTGACTCGACTCCTCGTGACGCGTGTCCTTTGCCTCGAGTATCGTTCATCCGTTTCTTCCGTTTTTCTTGTCGGAAAATTCGTTTATCCTACGTACGTTCCGCACTAATGCGGCTGAAACTTCTGGGTATCGTTCGCCAGTGTGTGTGTGTGTGTGTGTGTGTGTGGGCTCGTGTATGCGCGCGCGCGTCTCATCCACCGCTCGCACAAGAGGCAAACGTTTACGTACATTTCATAAAATACGTGACTCCGCGTATTTTCACCGGCTTATCTTTGCCACCACACGTGTTACGCTGTCCACTACGTGTACGCGTGTCAGTCCGTACGCCTACACGCGCGTGCGAAATATTCCAGGGTGCACGGGGTGTTTGTTAAACGGCACGTCCCTCCTGGCTGGCCGCGGTGTGTCCACTCTCGTCCCTTCCTTCGAAAAGCGAAGAAAGGACCGACGACCGAACCAATTCCACCTCGACGAGTGTATGTAAAACGCGTAAAACACCGATGGAGAAACGGTCCGGGGAACCGCGAGGAAAATCGAGAGGGAAACCGAGAGGGAAACCGAGAGGCGAGGGTAGGTGCGCGTGCAAGCGTACGCGACTCGAGTCTCGCTCCATCGAGTTGTGCTGCCATTCCGTCGTGTGTGTCGATACGTATCGTACATCTTGCCGTGTTTGAGATTATACGTGGGACTAAGCCCGATAGAAAGGCGATCCGACGTGTTTACGGACATTGCCGGATGAATCCTCGGAAGTCGTAAAACGTACGAACGTTCTCGCGTTTCCCACCAGCCATTTTACGAGTAATTTCCCGCGAGTGTTGAGTTTCCTCAGACACGACAGACACGAAACTTGCCCTCGCCCCGTCTCTCACACCCCCTTCCTTTCTATTCCAGCGGCGCCCTGTCTCGTTTTAAGAGACCGTCACTCGGTGAAACTCCACTGCGGAAACCACCTTCCTCGGTCGAATACTAATTAGTATTTCAATTTTCTTCGCATTAATATTAAACTGGACCGCAAAGGTGTCCCCTAGCTCGACGGAAGGACGTATTAAAAACAAGCAAACGATAAATCGAGCGTTTCCATCGTTTTTAACGAGTGCTCGCGACCCATGCGTTTCACCTCAAAGCGACACCACTCCCCCCTGTCGCTTTGTTCTCGTTGCTTCCTACGAGCGAACCGTCCGATCCCTATGTAACAAGAACAATTAA